TTCAGACGTGTGCTCTTCCGATCTCCCCAAAACCCCAAAACCCCGTCAGGGCATGATTGGTTAATGTAGAGATAATTCTGAGCAGGTTATAATCAATTAAAATAATATAAAATAAATGTTTTGCTAATTAAATGTCGTCGATAATGAGGATAACTCATTCAGCAGCCATATCCACCCGATAGAGTCTGACTCGATCTCCACCAACGAGGACAGCTCACTCATAGACAACACCACTTTACTCGGAACCCGCAAGCACAGTCTTAACAGCGATGACACCTTCGAACCCACCAAGAGACAAAAGATCGACACAGATAAAAGTCTTAATTCTAGATCAACCTACTCAGTCGAGAACACTGAAAATCTGTAGGACAACAAGTCAGCTACCTCAGCCAATTAAACCAACCAGCAGTTCAGCTGCTTCTTCCCACAGTTTGAAGCTGACTTCCAAGAGATCAAGCTAAGAAAGCGAGACGCAAAAGGCGATGACAAAAATTTAGGCGCACCATACTGGAGTCCAAACTTCATAAGTTCTAGTTCCAATAATAAACTTTCAAATAATCCAAATCACGTCTACTTTACTCCTATAATTGGATCCAATTCCTCAACTGCTTTGGCAAGTGACTAGACTAGCAAGCAAACAGCTACTACGACTGCAACCAAGTCTAAATCCCAGGACAAATGCTAGATATTCGACAAGGCCACCCTACTAGCCAAGAAATTCAAGGGAGAGTGCCTTTCTCAGAGCTACAGTATTTGCAAAGGCAAAAATTCACTTAAATTTAAATGCCTAAATAGCCATACTTTCTACATTCCTGTTGAATCCCTAGAAAACATTGAAATTTCAGAGATCAGTATCCCCACTTCCTCCTCTAAAAGTGTTAAGAGCGCCGCTCCCTCAGTTAAGATCATGTGTTCACCCAATGCATCAGAAGACTGGTGCTACAAGTGCAAAAAGTTCTACAAGAACTGCCAAGAGGTGGCGGCCGAGCATAGTATTAACGTAGTGGAAGGACTATTTAATAACAAAATTACCTTAAAATGCGAAAGAAGAGACCATTGCTTCAAGATTTCCTACACTAAGAAGCTTCATACCCTATCCTGCAGTGATTGTCGCAAAGAAGAACGCGAAGAATGGAAAGAACAACTCAGGCAAGAGGAGCAGAAGAAAAATGAGTACTACTAGCAACAACAGAAAGAACTTTTTGAAAGAGCTAAGAGAGAAATGGAGGGCGAAAGAGTACCAAACTAAGCTTAATGGAACAACACTAATAATACCAGCAGCAACAGCACCTATGACTAAGGGTATTATAGAGGAGGGTATAGTGATTGTTCCTGGAACGCCAATTCTTCCTCCTCGTCTTCGAATACTTCCTCTTCACAGGGCAAGACTAGTAGTTGTAGTGGTAGTGGTAGTAAATATAGTTACTTCTAAGTCCTTGAAGAACAGATTAACCTTTAAGCACAAAAACTGACTCTGGAGTACCTGAAAAAAAATAAAGGTACTGACAATAATAATAATAATGTGGACAGCGAAAAGGTGTTTATAGTATACAAGTTTATACATACACCGATAGAGGCACTGATTACAGGAATGTAAGCTAATTTTATCTGTTTTTAAATTTGCCCTATAGGAGTTAGATGATGCGTGAGCAAGCGATTCAGTACTTTAGGAGGTTAGCTAAGCTTTTGCACCCAGATAAGAATCAACACCCCTTAGCTAAGGAAGCTTTCCAGAAGTTATCTGAAGCCGTCTAGGCCGTCAGTGCTACTTCTGGTAGAGCTGCGTGCTGATTCACTAATTTACCCCTTTCTCAACGTTATTTGCTGACTTTTGAAGAGTCAGATGATACAGCATTACACTGCAATCACGAGTCTAGGCTTAAGATTCGCTGCTTTTTACTCCCATTATGGGGTCAAAGGTTTTCGGAACCTTTTCGAATATTTCGAAGAGGGGAAGACGACTGGAGCATCTCACTTGGGGCTTAAGTTGAAGTTTGTGAATCTTTCTCTAGATGGAATGGCTGCGAAGTTTGTGCCGTCATTTGACTTCTGAGGGAGTTTGCGAATGATCAGATGAGCTTCTCTGAGAGGTCAGTTACACTCTTGGAGGGCCGTCAATTTTAGGGAATGCAATTAACTGGGCGACAAAGTGAATGGACCTCCTTTAGTACCTTTTGTAATGAGACAGACTAATGAAAGGAGAATAGATACTCACTCGCTCGAGATGGTAGTAGTAGTGGTAGTAGTTCAATTGTCTCCTTCCTTTATTTGCTCTGTTTAGTTAATTTCCCTAATATTATTTTCTTCTTATTAATATTAAATTGCTTGGTGCATCTTTGGATATGCTCTTGAGTAATTTGCTGTTAACCCCCGCACTTTCGCTCACAACTACCACCATTTTTGCTTTTTAGCTCTCAGATTTATTTATACATTAAGAATATACACTTTAGTGCCATTTTGGTACACTAAAATATCAAAATACTAACTATTTACTCACAAAAATGAAAGAATTTGATTAGATTTTATTTACTTAACAACTTGAAACTTGAACTTGCACTTACTGGGGTTTTGGGGTTTTGGGGTTTTGGGGTTTTGGGGTTTTGGGG